TCGCATGATTGCGACTTATGACACAGGGTGGTTTGAGGTACGAAGATCACTGGATAGATTCTGGCCGATTTTATTAAATGATGTACATCTCAAGGAGGTGTTGGGTTCACAGGTTAATATGACAGCAAGACGGGGACGTAACATTCGTGACTTGTTGGTTCCAAGTCACTTTTCTACTAAATCTCAGATACGTCCCTCTTGGCTGGGAACTCCCCCATGTGGCACTTACTGTTGTGGCAGGTGTGTAGCCTGCAAGTATATTTCCAAGGGCTCTAAGGTAATTAATGATAGTTTAGATCAAGGGACATTCAAAGTTAAGAGCTTCTTCAATTGTAATACCAAGGGCCTCGTATATCTGTTGACATGCTCTTGTGGACAGAAATATGTGGGGAAAACCTTTAGAGCCTTTAAGGAAAGAATACTTGAACATGTAAGATCTCCAAAAAACCGTCTTGAAACACCAATCTCCAGACACTTAAAAGAATTTCACTATGGTAATTCAAATCATCTTCGTTTCTGCGGATTGGAATTAGTAAAGAGAAATCCCAGACGGGGGAATTTCGATAAAATTCCGAGACAACGTGAGTCTAGATGGATTTATGAATTAAAGACACTTCAACCTCTAGGCTTGAATGAAGGCTTCTCATTTGCCCCTTTTATTTAGCCACGTATGTATGGGAAGCTTCTTTTCATTAACCTATATATACTAAGGTAGATTAATTTTACTACCAATTATTAATAATTCAGTGATACTCCATTTTATGTTTATGGGACCAGCTGGTTATGACTGTATTTAATGACCACGTGTATAATGTGTGAGGCTTACACCATTTATTATCTGTGTATTTCTTCACTTATGTAATTATGATCAATTTTGTTTTTTGTATTTTATATTTTTCCCTTTCTTCCCCCTTTTTTTCTCCTCCCTTTCTCCCCTCTTTCTCTGGTTTTTCTTCCATCTCCCTGTACATGGTCTGTGATTTAGTCATAAGTCTAATGTGAAGACTATCCCTTAAATTTATTATACATAGGGTAGTATTAACTAAGCGATTAGTCACACTTCATTGTGGACTGACCTATTTTTCTAAGGGTTAAACAACCAGTATCAGGACTATGTCTGTCCTGTTGAGCTATTATATTTTGTAAGATCCATTCGTGCCTACCTCTTTCTTTTTTTTTTTTCTCTAAGTCCATGCGCATGTGCGCAGGACGAGAGACTGGCTGCTGGACGTAAACCACTCCCCCTTTTTGAACGGAGCCAGATGGGTACGTCCCCACTAGCGATCGATTGGCTCTTGTCTATCTGGTAGGGGGAGCTAATGGGGTATATGAAGGGGAGATTTCGAGCGGGAGAGTGCTATTATATGCCCTTGATAAAGGCGGTTTATCCGCCGAAACGCGCGTTGGGCAATATGTATGCAGTTCGTGCCTAGCCCTCTGGTTGATTTATCTCTTTTTAATCTCGTTCACCTAGTCAAGTTAATGCCATGATGGTAGTATATGTGAGACTAGTCTGAGATTATTAGTTGGAATGTTTTTTCCTCTTATGCACTTTATATATCCACTCTTACCTCTTATCTCACTATCCTTTCGATTTCCTTTATATCCCAATGCATTGTATACTTAGGAGTATGAAGGATTGAGTGAGTGAGGAATTTTTTTTTCTCTCTTTTGTATTTTATTGAGAGGAATAGTGTATATTTCCTTTCTATTTCTGGTGCATTAACAGGGTTAGAGCATAGAATTTTTTCGGCTCAGCTGCTGTGATCTAATTTGATACATTATATTATTACACTGTATCTATGTATACTGTGTTACAATTTATAGATTGGTATTTACCACGGATCTATTCAGCACTGCTGTTTTCAGCCGTATTAGTCTGCATTCTTTTTTCTTTTTTTCTTGTGGGTTAGGGTTAAGATTTTACTATTTACAATAAAGAGTTTTTGTTTTTTTAATGGGTATAGGATTTGTTTAGGTGTGATACTTTTAGCCTACACATTTTTTTGTGTTGGGGTAGCTGTAGTAGTAGAGGAATTTTTCCTCATAGTGGGGATTATTTCCCCTTACTACTCCTTTATTTTCTTTCTAATCATGATGTACATGGTTGTAATAAAAGCATGATCTCCATAAAAACTTTTAGAAATAAGCCATAATCGCAGGTTAAACCATTACTGTAATATACCTGAAATATCTATAATTTAGTAACTTTAAAAAGAAACTATAATCTAAACCAATATACATGAGAAAATGTTAATCAAGATAGAAACCTAGTATGGTATGAATAAGTATATGAAAGTATAACTGATTTAAACGAATTTATAACAGTACATAGAAAAGGTAGATGAACCGAATTTGGTTTAATATAAAAACAGAAACAGAGTTTGCCGTGTGCAAGATGTGAAACGAATGCGTGCATAACTGAGCAAAACTGCAGAAAGCTTAATTAGAATGAAAAGAAAGAACAGTGTCATTCGTCAAAAGCTTGACCGACCTAGACGAAAGATATTGTATACAGATTGAATTAACCAAACGGAAGGCAGCATGAATGAGTGCTTACGGTAAAATGAAATGAAAACGAAATGAAACGAAATGGTGTTAGGAAACATGAGTACCATACGGTAGAAACATACCGAAAGGATTATGGCACGAAAGTTTAACCGAAATGGGAAACAACGTTGATTTGTGACCTTGTAGTAAAGCCGGAGAGCCGTAAAGTGAGGACCCGTTTGAAAACGGAACGCCGTGGGAATAATCCAGGCATCGGACTTACGATTTTGAAGTCCCTGGGACATTATTTTCGACGAAGACCGAAGTCACGAGGAGCTGGATGGGCGGAAAAGACCTTCAATAGGATTCCTGGACACAGCTACACGTGAAGAAAATCGTGGGTTTCTGAAGAACCGGAAGTGGATCCTCATGCAGCGCTGACCTCGAACGGTATGGAGCCAGGTAAGGGGTGTCCCTTAAGTAGGGAAGGGGTGTGTCATACGCCCCTCCCACAATTACAGGCCAAAAGGCCTTAATACATATATTTATATATATATATGATTGGAAATGACAGCAAGAACTTGATGATAGTAAAAATAAAATATAACTTTTATTCTATATCATTTAAAAATATCGACGTACAGGAAAAGTGTTTGACCATCTGCACTGCGTAAGGAACTTTGTACCTGGTGTGAAGGGCTGCACACTTCCTGCAGGGATTTATAAAACCCCATGTGATCACCAATATGTTCGCAAATTTGAGATCTCTCTGCAAGATTTGTCCACCACTTGTTCTTAATCTCTCTGAGCTTACGTTGGAATTTTCTGCATACAAGGCCAAAGGTTGCTTTCCTATCAGAACACAGAGGCTAAGCAATGTGCACTTGGTGAGCAGATCTCTTCTGTGATGTGATGTGAGCTGTGTATTTGCCAAGTACTCATTTCCAGGCTTCTGAGGCCTTGCCTATCCTTGCATTGAAGTCACCAAGGATGATAGCTTTGTCATCTGTAGGGACGTTCTTCACAAGATTGCATAGTTCATTGTAGAACTAAACAGCAAGACATGCAGCTTGTTTTGAAATTTCAGGTGCATGGAGATGATGCGATCTGAGTGACCTAATGGCAGATTTTTAAGTAGGGGCAATGGAGTCCCTGATCATAGAGCCAACACCACAGAGGCATCTCTCAGTCTCTGGCTTGTCTGACCAGGGTGTAGAGAATGTTGCCTAGCTCTGGACAGACTTCACTAAGAGCAGTGATGTTGACATTAAGCCTTGGTTCTGATATTCAAACATGCAAGTTTTAGTCCTAGCACACGTCTTGAGGCAAATGCGTGCCTTTTACTTGTTTCATTTGTTAAAAGATGCCCGTTGACTGCGGCTAGCCAACAAGGGGAAATGGGGATGATCTTTGGTTAGGCCAACTTTTCTAGGCCCCTCTCCAAGTGGTGCAAACAGTGCTATCCCTAGATAAGGCTGTTTTATGGTTCAGGGTGCTGCAGAATGATATAGTAATATCCGAGATCAACATTAGATGACCCATACACCTGGACCACCAACATGCAGGATCGCAACCGCATGATCTTCCTCCTGTTGATTTGCCTCTTTTCTATCGCTGCAGGGATTAATGATTATATTAAACATAGATGTTGGCATACCATTCAAGCCTACTCAATTGAGTTTATAGGCGGAGGCAGAGCGTGTGCAATACTGTTTTCTCAGAACAAATAATGTATACACTGAGTGTTGTATGTATGTTTTTAGAAATCTGGCACACTTTGAATAGGGCAGCAAAATTTGGGCTCTTTGGTGATTTTCATTTTCCCAGTGTATCTGATAGTGCATGCAGTTTTCTATTGGAGAGATACATACAATTGAGGACTAAGCGCCTTGGGCAATTATTTCTGGTTTTCCCAAGTTTTTACTTAAACTTTGATATGATTGAACTCATATGTTAATTATGAGGGAAACTGTACTATTAAAATGTTTACCATTTTGCATATTTTGTTTTTCACAAACAACTTCATACTTCATACAAAATTACTTAACTATAGTTCATGAGGTTTCTTTCATGCTTTTAAGTTTTTAAGTCTTTGATATTGCAATAAGTCTAGTTTGCTTATATTAACTCTTTTCCCTCTACTCTGTAGCATTTGCTGCAAACATTTGGAAACTGACAAAAACGAGGACTATATTGATTTCTTAGCTAGTGCTCAAGGCTTTTAGTTATTCCTTATGATTTGCATTAATTCTACTGAGAACATGAACAGCTTTTTAAGCTTGCTTATGAGTTTTTTTCACTATTCAGTAAATTAAAAGTAAATGTGAAAGGTGGTGGGGCTTAGCTGCTATTTCTGGAGCTCCGTGGGTTTGCCTGGTTAATTTGCAGAAATCTACAATCCTACCGCGCATCCACTCGCAAATGACCTGGCATCGGCTGCAGGGGGCAGAGAGGTCCACGCAGATGCCATACTTTCTATCGCTGGGTACCAAACACGCCGGTCTACAAAGACCTCTCACGTGAGAAGACACAGCAAATGCCATTGCAGCCTGGTGGGACCCGGACTGGTCTATACGTGGTCCTCAGGAGAGACAGCCCCAAGAGGTGGAAGACCCAAAAATCCCAGGTGCAAACACCAAAGGACTTGCATGATATCAACACACTGTACCAATGCACACCCAGTAATAGAGACCTAGAGCAAGCTGAATCTGTGGCCTGCAATCCTCTCACTGAGGACAGCGTGGATATGGATGTTTCAGGGCCAGAGCCTCCCACACCAGTAAGCCCAATCACAACCACAAGTATGGTTCCTGCTAAAGAAGAGGACATTGACATTCATTAAAATGCAAAAGCTGTTTGCGGCTGACATAGCTGTGGTGAGGCCTAAAGTGCAAGTCGTTATCACTCTCAGAAAAATAAATCGCTGATTTGCAGCACAACCTAATGGCAGTTGGAGAATCTGTCAGACAACTACAGGTACCCACTCTTCCCTTGCACCGAATGTGGATCCCCTGGATGAGAGAATCCAGCATAAAAACCTAAAGATAAGAGTGGTCTCTGATTCGGCGGTACTGGAAGATCTAACCCACTTTATTTGGCACTTGGTGAATACTTTACTTCCTGGCTGAAATCGGGCCTTGATTCCAGCACCCACCGAAGTCTCTCAACACTAGATTGGGCTTCTCCTCCCATAAAGTCATGACGATCCAGGAACCTAATGTGCAAGTGTGGCAAGCACCGTACGTGCATAATGGCATCGCCATAGGAAAGCATTCAAACAGTGCAGTGCTATCTGTTAAGAGCCTCAGGTGGCTGCAGCTGCTTCTCTCCTCCCCTGTAGCATGGCTGAGCTCCTCTCCGGTCCGCGGTGCCCGGCCGGAGTGATAGGAAGGTGCACACTCAGTGTGCACTTCCTGTCAGTCCAGCCGGGTACAGGAAACAGAAACTCCTGTTCCGCGCGGAGTTTCAGTTTCCTGTACCTGGCCGGACTGATAGGAAGCGCGCACACTGGAAAGTGTGCACCTTCCTATCACTCCAGCCGGGCACCGCTGAACCGGAGAGGAGTTCAGCTACGCTACAGGGGAGGGGAGGTGAGGGGGAGTAATCTGGAGGGGGAGTAACTGGAAGGAGGGAGAGAATTCAAAGGAGGGGGAGTAACAGTAGGAGGGGAGTAGCTGAGGGGAGACAGAAAGAGGGGGGAGGTCAGAAGGAGGGGGAGTAACAGAAGGAGGGAGTAACAGAAGAAGGGGAGTAAATAGAAGGGGAGCAACAGAAGGAGTGAGGAGTAACAGAAGGAGGGGAGCAACAGAAGGAGGAGGGGGGAGTAACAGAAGGAGGGGGGAGTAAGAAGAAGAAGGGGGAGTAAGAAGAAGAACGGGGGTATGAAAAACGGGTCTGTGTCAGCAGGGCCAGCTGTTGGGGTGTGCAAGCTGTGCGGTCGTGCAGGGTGCCATGACAACAGAGGCGCCTGGCGGCCAACACATCTTACAAGTTGAGGACACCAGCATATTCAATTTAAACGATTCGCTGGTGGTCCACTGGTGCGCACCAGCAGTAGGTGCAGTCAGATTATAGCCTCTCCCTCGTGGTTCCGGCGCTCAGTTAGTGAGTCGGAGCACAGGCTCAGAGATTCTCAGCCTGGGCTCTGACAACATTGAAAGTCAGAGCTGTGAAGGAGCGGGTATGGCAAAGAGCTACTGATTAGCATAACATCAATATCCGTTATAAAACCAGGAAAAGGTGGGCATGGATGTTGAACTGATTTGGTGGTGCAATGGGCCACTTGACTGGTTTTGCCGCCCAGGCCTAAGGCTGCCAGCCCTCCCCTGTACATACATACACTGGTTATCGGTCTCCCGAAATATAATGGTAGTATTCCAGTTAGGATATGATATGCCAGCTTTTAATCACCTAAAAACATAAACATAAAACAAAACATACAATAAAACATGAAAAAGGTAAAAGCGCACACACACACCAAGGAGGTAGTTTACCTGACGTATAATAAATAGTAGGTATCTCCTCCTTATATACAGTTAGTGTATTGAATATTGGATTGCCTATACAGAAAATATAAACATAAAACAAAACATAGTGTAATCTGTATATCGTACACGATAAAAATGGAAATTCTGAGTTAGAAACACTCACACTTTGATGAGCCGTTTAAAGTAGGCTCGGAACTTATATGGCTTTTATGTCACTTCAATGGGACATACACATTTTCTTTACTCTTCAGGCAGGTTCTCCATTGATCTTAATAGTCCTCTGTAGTAAAGCAGGAGTCAGGAGCCAGGAGCCAGGAGTATCAGGATAAAATATTTATTTATAATAAAACAAAAATAATAAAAGTATTGCACAACGCGTTTCAACCATCTGCTAGTGGTCTTCCTCAGGTGCTGTTCAAAGCTACAATGGATATACTATTGTTTATATAGGGACTAGTGTTACAGATTTAATTGCATAATTCCCTACACATGAAAAGCTAATTAGAGTATCATTACCTTATATGGTCCGAGCCGGATGTGTTCTGCCACCTCCAATATGGCTACACATCCGGTTCGGAAACAAGATTAACCAAAATAATACATATCATAATAAGTATTAGATCATAATATATA